CATGGTGCTAGCTGAGATATTAAATGACAATTTGTGATTCAAAGTTACAAGATCTTTTTATTTTTTTTTTTAATAAAAAAAGGTTTGTACAAAACTTCTTCGTTCAAATCTATTTCCCTGTTGGGCCCGTCATGGCCAGGTGGTTAGGGTGCTCGACTCGCAATCTGAAGATCGCGGGTTCGAATCCCCAACCCACCAAAATATGCTCGCCCTTTCAGCCGTGGGGGCATTATAATGTGATGGTCAATCCCACTATCATTCCCTGTAGTCTTACACTGCTAAATTAGGGACGGCGAGCACAGATAGCTCTCATGTAGCTTTGTTTCCAAAATTCAAAACCAAACAAACAAACAAGAGATAGTAATTTTGTAAAGAAACACAAACTTTATCTGTTTTAGTGACAAATTTTACGTAGAAGATAACAGCTACACCAAAATGTTGCCGTTATTTTCATTCAAGTTTAATCCACCCAGAAGTGAGCAAGTTGGTTGAAGTGATTTAATTACAGAAGTTACTTTCTCGACCTTCCTTTGAAATAACATCAGTCTTCTTCAATTAAAAAAAGTAATAATTGGTTGTTCACACAGTTACAAGAAACTTCTGGTCCATCCTGGATGGATTAAGTTGTTATTTTATTTTTTAATTGAGGTCTTTATTGAGTCATTAATATTTAATAAAATTTCTTACTGAGGGTGAAAAAAACTAATGTGTAAGATAATTTTTTAAGATCAAATTTAGAAATTTGTTTCAATAACACTTTATAGTGTAATAGTTCATGATATTTATAAGAAGCAAAATATATATATATAAATAAATGTAACATTTATGGGTGTGGAAAGTCCATGACAAAACTAGCACCATAAGTGACCTGGTCAGAAACCCCTAGGATTCAGGTATAACCATACCTGATTTTGAACTAGTTACCAGAGGGAAGGCACCTGCTCCCACAAGGGTTTTTCTGGCTTTTTGAATTGAATAATAGAATTGACTGCCACTCTTGTAATGCACCAACAGCTGAAAGTGTGGGATGTGTTTTGTAGGATCATGTTTTCAACCTAAGATGCTTCAATCCATAGACACACACACTTAAAAGCCACTCTAGGGTTGTCTTTCATTAGGTTGGTTTATGTACCAACCCACATGCTCATAAGATGCTCGTCAGGTAAAAAAAATAAATTCTTATTTGAAAATGTTAAAAGCCTTTAACGGAGTTCAATGCCTGTTAGAAAAGTGTTAGTCCTAAAGAAAACCTATAGTATATCTAGTATGAAAATGTCCACGTTGTTTAAAATTAATATCGTTCTGGGAATGTGGAACACCTTTGTTACCACTGTAAACTTGTATCACTTTCAGATCTGAATATGATTAGGAGAGCTAAAAGGTCTGGGTCAGTCATTACACCAATACTGTATCCAGTAATAATTTATCTTTGGAGGCCGATAAACTCTTTTCTTCGTGTCATCTTAACCCTAATTGGCTAGCTTTTGAAAGTAGCAACTTTTATAAATGCTAGTTTTATCTATTATTTATTGCTGGAATAAAAATTAGAAGTATCAACAATTTCAGTTTAAGGACGTTATGTGTTAGGCTAGGAAGTTTACTTTTATGGTATTGTAATTGGTGTTTACAACTGTTTTAATACAAATAAAACGTTTAACTATTAAAGAAGACTGATATTTTTCGTTTGAAGATGTACGTGTTAAGATTCCTAACACAGTTGGATAAATATGATATTTAAACAAAATAAATCTATCCTATCTCTGGTGAAATGCGTTTCTTTTCTTTATCTAACAAATATTTTACTATTAAAGTATTAAAGAAGACTGATATTTTTCGTTTGAAGATGTACGTGTTAAGATTCCTAACACAGTTGGAATAAATATGATATTTAAACAAAATAAATCTATCCTATCTCTGGTGAAATGCGTTTCTTATCTTTATCTAACAAATATTTGCTTTGAAAATGTTTTATACATAAGATTTTCAGTATAACAATCGAATTATTATTAACTTGTCCTCCAGTGGGTCAGTGGTCAGCTTAAAACATTAAAATCCGGTGTTCGCTTTGCCGTGGTGAACAGAGTGCAAATAGCCCATTGTGTAGCTTTGCACTAAAAACAACAGTTATTAACTTTTAATAAGTCCTGCTGCCATCTGGT